TTAATTGAAAAAGATGACTTTCAACAGATAAAAAATAAATTTATTTCTCAATTACAATTACTTAATAATAATGGACCAACGGCTCAACTGTGGATTCAATATTTTATAATGGTAGAAATTGTCAAACAATTTATACAAGCAGAGAGAACTGGAAACTGGCCATTACACTTGAAATGTATACAACAAATGTTGCCGTATTTTCATGCGAGTGGACATACTTTGTACGCAAAATCGAGTCATTTATATTTGCAAGATATGCTTGAGCTTGAAACTGTAATGGATATCTTTGAATTTGATAAGTTTAATAACTTAGGTTATTTTACAATTAGGCGCACTAATAAATATCGGTCAGGAATCTGGTCAGATATGACTATCGAGCAAATGCTAATGAGGCCAATGAAATGCAGCGGTGGCTTAACGCACGGTCGCGGGATAACAGATAGTGTGCTATCTAAATGGATTCTGTCCACGATTGTTCTGACAGAAATTTCAGAGGCAATGGAAAAATTTTGTAATGTGTGGTATATGACATCTGAGCAACACATCGACACAAACATCTCGAGAATATCCAGAGACACTACGGATTCAAAAAGATTGTTTGAATTTTTTAAATTGCATGATCCATTTCCTGTTACAAATAGCATAATTTCTAGTACTGGCGTTATTGGCGATAATACAATTAATTGTTATAAAGCGTTAGAGGTAGGCATTTCTTCTTTAAATGGAATCATTGGCAAAACTTTTGGCACAGCTAAATTCGAAAGAAGAAAGAAAGTACTGTCACTCAAAGCGGTCAATTCATCGGTAAAAATAAATCATGAAGTTGTGGTAATAAATCCAACTTTAATTTTCCAGCGAGTTTCATTAAACATTGAAACAAAAAAGGATATGAAAAAGTTTTTAGAATACGAACTTGCACCTTATCCTCTTCCACTTTTTGATGAAGGAGGTATGCGAAAAACACGAAAATCTGCTTTTTACGATAATTTTCAGAGCATTCCACAAGTACCTTCATTAAATATTTTTTATGTTATTGACGGCGGATTTCTTCTTCATAGAGTGATTTGGCATGTAAACGACAGCATTGATATTATCTTGAAGCAATATGTTTCATATGTAATGAAATATTATTCAGCAAATTCTTGTATTGTTTTCGATGGGTATCCGGACAATTTAGCTTCATATAATATAAAAGTAGCCGAACGTTTACGTCGCCAAAATAAAAACTTAAGCCGTGAAATTATTTTCGACAGAAATACAAAAATAACGTTTCCTCAAGAAACAGTTTTAGCCAATGAGAAAAATAAGAAACGCCTAATTACTTTGTTATGCGAAGAATTAAATAAAGCTGGTTGTACGACAAAAACAGCAGAAGAAGACGCCGATTCCTTGATTATTAACACAGCGATTAATGTAGCTACTGCGAGTAATAATGTTATTGTTGTAGGAGAAGATGTAGATTTATTAGTTATATTAACACAACTAGCGCCAGAGAACTTGAACATTTTTTATTTAAAACCAAACAAAGGCAAAGTATGTCAAGAAGTATATAGCGTTAATAGTTTTAAATATCCGGAAATTAAAAAATTAGTTCTTTTTTTACATGCATTTACTGGCTGCGATACTACATCTTCTTTCTACAAGCAGGAAAAAAATAAAATAATTAAAACGTTAATTGAAAAACCTTATTTACAAATTTTAGCCGAAACTTTTTATGATCCGAACGCTAATCAAGTTGAAATAGCAAAAAACGGTACAGAAATTATAGCTCGTTTGTATAGTACGAAAAACGAAAGAGGTAGTCTTAATGAATTACGTTTTTTACATTTTGAGAAATCCACATTCAAAACATCTTTCAAGTTAGAATCGCTACCGCCAACCGAAGCAACTGCTAAACAGCATTCTTTAAGAACATATTTACAAATACAACAATGGCTTGGACATATAAAAGAAGCAACACAGTGGGGATGGAAAATGTCCGTTCATGGACTTCAACCAGTACACACAGAAGACGCACTTATTCCCGACGAATTATTATACAAAATCACCTGTAGATGTGAGAAGGGATGCAAAAGCAAAACTTGCAATTGCAAACAGCATGGCTTGCGCTGCTCACATCTTTGTTCCCATTGTCATGGCAAATCTTGTTCAAATATCGAACAGATTATTAATGAAGTTTTTGACGACGAACCATTCTTTGAAAAGACTAATATCGAATTTGAGGAGGTGATGACTGAGGAGTCAGAAACATTGCAAAAGCTAGAAGAAGAAGAAGAAGAAGAAGAAAAAGAAGAAGAAGAAGAAGAAAAAGAAGAAGAAGAAGAAGAAGGTGAAGACGAAAACGAAGATAAAGAAGACGAAAAAGGCGAAGACGAAGAACAAAATGAAGAAGAATGTAACCAAAAAACTAAAAGGCAAAAATTATATTGATAGGTGTCAATGCGTAACATTATTATAAATTAATAAAATGAAACAAATTTATTTTTTCCCGTACAATACATTAGTATTACTTTTAAATTAATAAGTATAAGTATTGTTTTAATTTTATTTTACATTTTGATTAATAACAATAAGTATATATAATTGTATTAGTAAGTATGCAAATTACTTTTATATTGATCTTTTTATATTAAGCGACTTTATGAACACTATTGAATACAATTCGTCTAAATCGTTATAAAAATATAATAATATTCGTTGCAAGCATCTAAAAATTGTATATTTAAAAACTTTAAATAATAAAACGTGCTTTATGTGGCATCCATTTGTTAGTCGCATATGTACTTAACGCTTAAACCTCGTTTATGAATAATAGGCAGGAAAAATAGAAATCAAAAGTCGAAAAACTAAAAACTTTCGGCTTAGATATATGTTTGAAAACAATTGGTTACGCTATTTGTTAATATCTCCTCGAGCTACCCCAGATTAAAAAAAAATCATCGCTCTACGTTAACTGGTTGCTGAGATAATGTAAGTTCCGACAGTTTGAACGCGCAAAATGTGTCCCTGACGCTCGCGCTCGCACGCGTTGCGACGAGCCGCCGTTTCCCCCACTCCGCTACCGCACATTGCCTCGCTCACGTACCGGAACTTTATGAATTTTTATAAGCGAATTTTCCGAAACGATAAATTTGAAAATTTAGGAACAATAACTTCAACTCTTCCTCCAGGCTGTGTAAAATTTTCAGCTGTTAATATTAACAATTGAGGTCACAGTGATTTTTTGAAA